TCTCTCTCTCTCTCTCTCTCTCTCTCTCTCTCTCTCTCTCTCTCTCTTTCACTTTTGTTCTCAGGCTATGTCCCCATATAGTACAAAGGTTAATATTTACAACTGCATATTTTCAAAACTTTTGGAAGGGGAGAGGAGAACCTCATGGAAGGCTTATTCTCAAGGCATCTCATTTATTCCTCTTAACATTTGGGAATTGTTGGGGGCGTTGGGGTTGTCACAAATTGCCTTCAAGACAATGCCTGTTCAATTCACAGAGTGTTAAATTATATTTTAGCCACAAAGTTATCAGTTTACAGCCTGTATCATTTAGATTTGTGAGTTCAGCTAAATGTATAGATACCCTGTCCCCCCCAACCCCCAGGGCTTGAGTTCCTATAAATAAACTGCTGTTCACACCCACTCTTTAACCTCGCCACTCTTGCTTTTCCGACCAGCTGCAATCTTTCTTCTCTTTGCTTCTTTTTCAAATTTTCAGTATCACTACATATGCTTTTTTTTTTTTTTTTTAAAGCATCAGACTCACTAGATCAGTTCCAAAATAGGATTAAAACCAGAGAGAATAGAAAGAAATCTCCTTTCCTGGCTTGACATACATAGTCATTCCTTACTATACTCTCCATCCTCATTCACCAACTGTTAAAGTGTTAAAATTCAACCACTAACCCATAGTTACTCAATCATAATTCCCTTCAGCTTTCTGTAATACATTGTTAATAATTGGTTCATCAAGGTTACTGTCTTTTATTATGAAGATGCTTCAGGCACTTGGCAATAAGTCCATATTTTGACAATAACTTTCTATAGAGCAAAAGCCCTAAGAATTGTAATGTGTTCTTTCACTCCTTCTTTTATTTCTAATGCAGTGCAAGATTGCCAATAATTCTCAGAATGGTCATCTCTAGGAGAGACTGAGAAAATAAACCCTCAGTCCCTAATTCTTTCATGCAGACACCCCCTCCCCATCCCGTCCAGCTAACTGTCTTGCCTCTATCTCTGCTGCACTGATTACACAGAGTTGAGAAACCAGAAAAGACAGCGGTCACCATATCAAAGAGAGAATTTGCTAACACCCAAGTTTCCCATTCAGGGAAACTTTATACATTAAGAGAACAAATCACTCTATCAATTCTCTGTTTTTTTTTTGTTTTTTTTTTTTTTTTAACCCTTCTGGCTTTCCAAAAATAAAAGACATGACAGTGGTAGTGAGAAAGGGAGAATAAGACCTAAAAGAGACCAAATCATTTTTAAAAAGAAATCTCAGGGGAGTTAGATGTTAAAACAAATTTTTGTTTGTTTGTTTGTTTGTTTTTTAAAATGTTGTGCCCAGTGGCCTTAAAAGAAAGCCAAAGGCTTGCAAACTTACATGGTCAGCAAGATTTGTGGAGGAGCCTGAAAGTTCTTCGTGGTCTGACTTGGAGCTGCCGTCTCGTTCATCAATGACGAGGTCTATGGGCATTTTCCCCTTTAAACAGCTAATGTACCGGTGGCAGAAGTTATCACACAGTTCATGGACCTACAAGGAGAGTCATGGTGGAGGGTTCAGCTCATATTGTTGTTTGTTTCATTTTTAAAGAAAAATATCAGGTTGCACAGTTACATTTGGAAAGAGCAACAATGTGATGTCTTCCAAACTAACTCTAATTAAGGGGTGTAATAGTTGACAGCAAGGAAACAATAGAGCAATTGTTGCACCAGATATTATTCTCTAGAGACTTCCCTGAGCAACAAGTTACAATAAAGAGAGGGAAAGGAAGAAATAGGACTAGAAATAACTGGGTTCCGACTAGGAGACCAGAGAGGAAAATCTGATTTGATAATAACTTAAAAAACATTAAAACACCGGAACCAGAGACAGCAGTAACATTTGCTATTCAATAAGCTAAGAGTTTTGTATGTTTCCAGGAGAAAGTGAATGAGTTGCAGAGCAATCTAAAGATACCCTAGAGAGGATGATTCTTTCTGCTTGCACCTAATGCAAACTCTGGGCCCATGGTGAGTTGAGTTAATAGAGATACAAGCAGACTGAATGTCCAGTAACAAATGATCAGCTTCATTTCAAAATAATCCTGAATGCCTGGGGGAAAGGGGGTGTGTGCTACTTTAAAAAGCAAGGCTGTCCTAATTCACTCATCCTCTGAGCCCCTGGGTTGAGGAGTAGTTTGAAGGAAGGACATAGCAACATGCTCAAAATCTCCAGGTGTGCAATACCTCATACTGCAGGTTTGCTGAAAACATCCCAGTCAACTAGGAGAGGGAAATGGCTAAATCAAAACGGGAAAGGTTATTTCCTGCTTACCTTTTCTAACTCCAAAAGATGAAACCTTAGTACTTGTATTGCTTGTATCATCTGAAAGGAAAGTTTAAGGGTATGGAGTTAGGGCTTTGTGACACTGTGGTCCTGGGGGTGGGGGTGGGGATTGGACTGGGGCAAAGAAACCGGCAGGTGGTCAGACAAATCCCACACATCAAGAAATAGAAGAAGCAAGTGATTACTGATCATCTCTGCCTCATTGGCCACGGGGTACGAGTTTGCCTCAACCTGAGCCTCAATATTAATATCTTTCCCCTAATGTTCACCGTGCTATTTGTAAGGACTGTTTTTTTTTTTTTTTTTTTTTCCTCTCGGGCCAGGCCTTCGTTCTCCGCCGGAGTCCTTTTTAACCGTCCCCTCCCTCGACCTCAGGCCAAAGTAAAAAAGAAAAAAAAAAAAAAAAAAAAAGGTCGCTTTTCTAGACAGAAAAAGCTTTTAGAACCGCATACCCAGCGAAATCCGTCCTAACTAAAGAAGGAAATACTCAAGATGAATGGTGATGCAGGGCCTTTGAAAGCGGATTTAAGTACTTTTAATATTGAAATCGTGCAAATTAGCAAAAGAATCGTACCTAAAAGTGGCCTGCGCTGGCCTGGCCCTCACCCCCAGCCCCCACCCCCAGCCCGCCCTCCACCGCGCCAGCAGTTACTTCCTTCGGGTTAGCCGCCCGGGGCTCGGCCGCCTGCCCCAGCAAACAGAGGAAATAACTCACTTCTCTCAGCTTATTCCCGAGGCCGAGACCTGGGAAGCATCCCCTGCTCTCGTTCTCGGCGCCGCGTCCCGGGTTTCTGCCTCGGTGGGCTTTGCTCCCCCCTTGACGTCCGTCCTGCCCCTCACTCGCCATTTCCCTCGCGGGGGCTCTAAGCTATTCCCTTCCTCCCTGTAGCCCCAGAGCGCCAAAAGAGGTCTCTGCTTGACTCCCTGGAACTACAGCAGAAATTGGGTGCTTCTGGTCATGGGAGGGGGGCGAGGCTGGGGTAAAGAAAGAAACAGAGAGCCTTACCAAATTGTCCAGCTCTGGATTTGAGGAAAAAAGTGGCTTTTCGGCGCGAACCTATAAGAAGCAGGGAAATTCAGCATGAATTACCATCCCATTTTAAAGAAAAACCCTGTCACAGACTAAACTGGAGTGTGAGAGTGGGATGGTGGAGGGCAGTGGCGGAGAAGAGGAGAGGCACTTGGGTAAAACACATGAAGCAAAGTGGTGCCTTAAATTAGTGGGAACGGCTGAAAAAGAATCAGGCCCTTCTGGTCCTGGCCCCGTTAAGGGAGACTTGGTACCACTATGCGCTAGCAGGGACCTCAGGGCCGCAGTTCCCTCTTGTCCAGCGGTCCAAGAGGCTTTGGCTCTCCACTCCCTCACCTCCGCGCCCCGCGCGTACCACTCAGAGAGGCGCCCAGCTTCCTTGGCTCCCGGGCACTCCCAGGTCCCTAACAGCCCCTCTCCCCAATTCTTGTTCAAGTAGCTGCAGGCAGGGGAAAAGGCCAAGCCCCAGATTAGGAACAGGTCAACTTTAATTCGAGGGTCGAGCCCCTGTATTCCTGGCTGGGGGGGAAAACAAACACCCATATTTATCTCCGCTTCCAATTCGCCTCCAGGCTCAGAGATGGGGAGGAGGCGTAGTGTGCCGACTGGGCCAGAGGAACAGATCGGGTGTCCCTGCCTTTTCCTCCTCTTTCAAGTAAATGTCTAAAGAAAGGGGAGGGAGAGTTAAGAGCTGCAGGAGGGTGAGCGGGTCAAGAAGGTTGGACCTGCTTGGCGAAGACTGCGATGTCCTCGTTGAAGGAGTCGGAGGAGCAGACGTCTCCGCCGGCCACTCCGGGTTCCCGGGGAGTGCAGGTCGCCAGCTCGCACTTCTCAAAGACCAGAGCTAACAGAGGAAACAACGGGTGCCTAACGGGCAGCGCCACGCAGAGACATACACACGGAGACGGGGTGCAGAGGGGAAGGAGCAAGAACTGTAATCAACAAGTTTGGAGGGTTTGGATTCCTTCTTTAATACAACAGGCACGCATCACACTTTACAACCCTTCCTCAGTCAGCCGAGCCTGGGCCAGAAACAGAAAGGAAAAACAGCCTGCCTGGCCCCTACCCTCAGCTCAGAAGTCTCTCACATCTGGTCAGAGAAGTCTCCGGCCACTTTAGCCCGCCAAATAAAAACAGCCTCAGTTGGAACGTACTGAAACATCCAAGAAACTCGGGTAATATGGAGCCCTGAGTTCATCCATACCCATTCCCCACTACAGAGGCCACCGAACCAACTCTTGCTAACCAACCTTTACCTCCCAAGAAAGAAACACTCTTTAAAATTATATATATATATATATATATATATATATATATATACACACACACACACACACACACACCTTTAACGGGCATTCCAAACAAGGCCGACGGCTTCACCTACATACACACTGGAGTGACATTTCCTAGATTCGAGAATGTTCTTCCAATCTTTCTAACCCCTTGCATTATAAACTAGTTTGTTCTACTTCTAGTAAAACCTGAGTGTGGGGGCCAAAATAATAAGAACGTTAAAAGTCGAACAGCTTCCTTCCAAAGACCACATTTCCCCAAGCATTGCAGCAGACAAAAATAAAAGAATCGCGTTTTAAAACTTGGAAGTGTGCTTGCGCGTATGCCCTTTGTGTTCCTTGGGCGCTTTAGCTACACTTCGGGATGCTTGCGGCCTCTGGCTTTAGGCTCAGTTGCTGTTTACGCACTGTCCCCTCCCCTCGGCATCCCGCCGCCTTCCCCACCTACCCTTGGCCGGAAGAGCCCGTGTTGTACACATTTGGACCTTGCATTCCCACCCCTCCTGGAGTTCTCAGAATATAAAATAATTTTCAACCATCTCCCTTACTTCCCCCAAGAGTCTCTCTATGCAAGCAGCAGTCCCTTCCACCCCGCTGCACTTTAAGGTCTGCCCCTTTATTTACAAAGAATTAAGAAGTGGGTGATTAGAACTTCCTGGCCGACAGAAGCAGCCCTGATCTCAGCTCAAGCTGCATTTAGTGACTCCCAGACCCACAAGTATGAAACAGAAGAGGAGGGAAAAACACATCAAGTTGCTCCTCAGCTACAGGAAACTTTCCCCTTGTCAAGGCCTCTGCTAGGGGGCTTGAAAAAAACTAGTCCTGCGTCCTTTGGCCAGGAATCTTGTCCTTGGGGAGAAGGCCCTAGCAAGGTTCTGAGAACTCAGTCACTCCGGGCTGTGGGGTTTGGAGTGACCGGGCCGTGGGAGTGGAGGAAGCTATATCTTCCGGGTCTCTGACTCAAAGGGCAGAAGGGCAGGCTCCTCCACTGTCCTTTCCTAAGTCAGGCAGCACCCCCATGCAGAAATAACTCTCCACTTAGCCGTCCATCCCCCGCCCCCCACAAAGACAAACACACACTCTCACTCACACTCACACACAGTAAGCTGGGTCCGGGGGGTCGGTTTACCCATAGATCGCGTCCTTGTCTCGCTTCAAGGCGTCGTTGACAGCAGAGCCCATGCTGGCCGGCATGACATTGGGGTGCGGGGCGTGCGCGCCGTAGTGCTGCGTGGCGTGGAGCGGCGGCCCGTGGTTCAGGTGATGAACCGGGGGAATCGGCCGCGGCGCGTGAGGGTCTCCGTACATGGAAGCGGGAACCCCTACTCCGTCCATCCCGCCGTAATGGGGCAGCTCATCGTACTGTCAGAACCCGGCAAGGAGGAGGGGGCGCAGGGGATGGAGAAAGAACAGAGGGAGGAAAGAGAAAAAGAAGCAGGGAGAAGGAATCGTACAGAAAAGTGGGGATGGGACAGAGATGAGAGAGACAAGGAGAGGGGAGAGAGGAGGGGGGAGAAAAAGGGGGGAGGGCGAGAGAGAGAGAGAGAGAGAGAGAGAGAGGGAATAAAAATAAAAACAAAGTCAGAAAGGAGAAAAGTACCGAGCTCAAGTTGAACATACAGAAACCAAACCAGTCGAAACAACGGAGTTGAAAGTTGTGGGGGGAAATGTTTTAAAATCTCAATGAAAAAGTATGAGCCAAGAGCAGCATTTAGAGAAGGGAGAGGAGGCGGCGAGGCCGGGGATTGAAGGGGCGCAGGGAGGCCCCGCTCCCGCCGGAGGCAGCAGAACCGTAGTGAGCCAACCGAGGGAGAAGTGGAGTTAGTGTGAGGAGGAAGCCCCGGATCCCACCCCTAACCCCCCTTCGCCTCCTCCAGAGGATCCAATAAATCAAAAGGCGAAATGAAACAAAATAAAGAGAAGAAAAACGCTAATAATCAGGACGAGAACGCCAAGGACGAGGGAAGACTAGGGCCAGTGCCTCCCCGGGGGCAGGGAGCGGAGGGTGGGGAGGAATAACGTGAAAGTTACCAGAAACATTATTTAGCCGCGGATTCCCTGCGTCCTTGTCAATTTCAGAGACAAAACAAGCAGCCCAGGCTAGTCTAGGCGGCGGCGGCGCAGCGGCTGCGGCAGCGCGGCCCCAGCGGCGGCCCCGGCGGCGGCGGCTCCTACGCAGCCCGCGCCCGCCCCGAGCCGCGGGAGCAGCGGCAGCAGCGGCGCAGCAGCGGCAGCAGGAGAACCAGGGGAATCGCGCTGCTGGGGTAAAAGCTGGAGCGAGGCGAAAGCGTGTAACAATTGCACACGCACGCACACACACACACACACACCACTCACACGCACTCGCCGCCCGCCCGCTCGCACAGCGCTGGAACACGCGCGCCTAGACACGCACACACGCACGCACACACACTCGCACACACGCAGAGGCACGGGGGGGAAAGAAGCCGATGAATAATTTTGCTGCTATTTTTTAAAATACTGGCCGCCATCATTAAGCAGCGAGCAGCAGCAGCAGCTTGAAAGGAGAGGAGGCATCGGGGCAGGCCCCTCTTAGGAGAGGATTTATATCTAGGTAAGTGTTGGAGATTTAAACCTACCCTTTGCGCCATCAGTCTGCGCTCCAATAAACTCCTGGATGTGTCGTATATTTAATATCCCAGTCCGGATAAGAAAGTGATCTAGGCTGAAGATTCCTTTTTTTTTTTTTTTTCCAAACCAAGGAGACTTCTCCCAATTCTCCAATATGTTATTTTTAGGGGAGGGGGGAGCCCAGGCAAAACAACGAAGAGTTTTTTTTTTCTGTAATATTTCTTCTTTTTCTCTTTTTTCCTCTTCTTCCTCCTCCTCCTGATCTTCCTCCTCCTCCTCCACCTCCTCCTCCTCCCCCCACCCCTCCTCCTCCTCCTCTTCGGTCCTCCTTTCCCCCTCTTTCTCTTCTCTTCCTCTCAGTTGGAAAAAAAAAGAAAAAAGAAAGAAAAGAAAAAGAAGAAAAAGAAGAAAAAAAAATTGTCAAGCCCCCGAACTGAAGGTTACGAGCCGCCCGTCAGCAGCCCACATGTAACCGAACTGTCGTGTTTCATGGCTTTTTGCCACTCCAGCTGTCAATCAAAGCCCGGAATGTCAAGGTAGTGAATGAATGATGGTTGATGATGATGAAGAGGAGGAATCTTTCAGACCCGTTTTTTTTTTTTTCTTCCAGTAAAACTCCGCGAGGGGTTTCTGCTTCTTGATTTTTTTCCTCCCCCCTCCCCCCTCTTTTAGCTTTGCCCCCGCTGTATCTCTAATATGATCCTCTCTCTTTAAAGTATTGTTCAAAGAAGGCAAGGAGAAAAATCAAGAAAAAAAAAAGAATAGTTTGCAAAAATTGGACTTCCTCCCCCCCTTTTCTGGTAGGTATTTTGTCTCTCCCTCTCTCTCTCTTTCTCGCTCGCTCGCTCTCACTCGCGCTCGCTCTCTCGCGCTCGCTCTCTCGCTCTCTTTCTCTCTCTGGGAGATGAGTGAGTGTCAGTAGGTGTTGGCAGGTTGGCTGCTGCCTGGCTTATAGAAGAGCCTCAGTTTGGCGGCGCGGGTCGGCGGCGGGAGAACGAAATGACGGAACCCGGAAGTCGTGGTGGCCATAGCCCGTCGTACGGCGGAGACACATCCCGGGAGTGGGGAGCGGGAGCGAGGAGGAGCGCGCTGCGCGGAGCCTCTGATATGCAGCGAGTGCGATCGGACGGCCCTGGCTGGGAGGGGGGACGGGGGAGGTGGGGGAAGGGGGAGGGGAGGCTGGAGCCGAGAGGACCCGAGCAAATCAGCGTGCCTGCTTCACCGCGGGGACGGGAGGGGAGGAGTGAGGGGGGAGGAAGAAGAGGGGGGTTGAGAGAGAGAGGGAGAGAAAGAGGGGGGAGGAAGGGGGAGAGAGGGAGAGAGAGAGAGAGAGAGAGAGAGAGAGAGAGAGAGAGAGAGAGAGAGAGAGAGAGGAAGAGAGTGCGCGCCTGTGTGCGTACGCGCTCGCGCGCGCGCGCTAGAATGTGGAGAAAGGGAGAGAGAGAGAGGCAAGGAGAGAGAAAATGAGAGAAAGAAGAGGACAGGGAGAGCACAGAGAGGAAAACTGCAGAAAACCACAGGGAAAGTACGGTACAGACTCAGATCTTTTCATTTTTAAAAAACTTCTGGTTTTTCTTCCCCCCATCACTCCCGACTCCTGCCTAGCTGGGTCGTATCGGGGACGTTTGGCATGGCGCTCTCGCTTTTGTTCCTTTTAACTTCGTAGTCCCTTTTCTACTCTGCCCGCCGATTACAGGGCTCAGAAGTCTTCCTGATAAAGTCCAAGGGCAGCAGGCTCTGCAGACGGTATTACCAACGGGCTAGATTTTTTTTTTTTTTTAAGTGATACTTTCTTCCCGGTGCAGATTCGGGACCCCTGGACCCTTGTTGTCAATATTCATTTTTTTTTCCAGGACAAGAAGAGACCAGCTTAACTCAGAGCACATTCCCTCAAAGCGGTGCAAAGGGGTCACTCCGGAGAATCTTTGGGGGTCGTGGCGGAATCAAGAAGTTGGAAGTGGGGAAGGAGATGTTTGGACATTTGATGTCCGATGTAGCTAAGGGGGTGTGTAGGGGTGTGTGTGTGTGTGTGTGTGTGTGCGCGCGCGCACGCGCGCGCGACTGCTGTGCGCTTCCAAAGTGGATCTTACTTAGAGCTGGGAAGAACGGGAGGGAAAGAAAGAAGGAAAGAAAAAAGAGTGTAAAGAGAGATGTTGCCTAGTAAGTAGTGGCTGGTGCTCCCTGCTCAGCTTTGTTGTGATCTTCCGAGGCGCAGCGGCCCGGCCGCGGTATAAAATAAAGGGCTAATGGTTGTGTTAATTACAACGGGTGATTTTGCTGGGTAGAGAAGATGGGGCCGGCTCCAAAGGAACTTTTGCCAAAAAGACAAGGAAGATTGTGGAGGAAGGAAGGTAACTCCCCCTCACCGTTTGTGTGGAAACTAGTTTTGGCGGGTGTCTGCTACAGTCGTTGGCCAGAGCGGCACCCGGCTTTACCTCTGCGAGGCCGGTTTCTCAGCGGCAGTGCGTCAATCACGCGGAGCCTGGAGCTGGGGGCGGAGCTATGGTCAACCCTAGCGCGCCGCACCGCGACTCCAGCAGCCCCCGCATCCTCTCAGCTCGCCGGGGCTCCCTCCGCTGGGAGCGTGCCCTCTCCCCAACTGCTCGCCTTCGCCGTGATTCACGGTCCTTAGCCCTCAAAACCGAAAACACCCTGTTCTTCAACAGCCGCCTCCCTTCCCAACTCTGAACACATTCTGGAAATTAGAAAGTAGTGTATGCTCCGCGCGCGGCTTTGACCGGACTTTCCCGCGGGGGCGGCGGGTGGGGGGAGTGGATGGGAGTGGTTAGGAGGAGTAAAGTGTAAGTGTGTGTGTGTGTGTGTGTGTGTGTGTGTGTGTGTGTGGATTTAGAGAAAGAAGGAAAGGCGGGTGGGAGGGTTCTTTTTTGGCCCCCTTGCATCTTTTCAGCTTCACTGTAAGCTTTTGGGCAACACAAACTAGACTAAAATTGCAGCCTGCAGAGACTTCAAGTGGAGTCGGAGAAATTTGGCCTCCTTTTAATAGGGCTGGGGAATGAGCTCCGGAGGTCAATAAAGCCCTCCAAAAATGATGAATGATTGAGCACCTGTGATGATGATAGTGATTACCGGAGCAATTAAACAGTTTGATTAAATGAGCCATCATAACAATGATGTCTGAGGGAACCGGGCCTCACGTATAAAGAAAGGCAGTTCCGAGGGGCTGGCAGAGTCGAGGGTAGGGCAACTCCAAGGAGAGAGGGACTGCGGTTCGCGAGGTTTTTGGGCTGTTCGTCAGAGCACGGGCCTTAGGTTCCTGGTGCTTCAGGTTTTCCGCCACTTTGCCCGGCTTCAAGCCTGGAAGAGAGTGAAAGGTTATGAAACCTGAAAATTGGGGAGAGGGGAGTGTCCTCCCTCCACACCTCCCGCCCCTCTCTCTCTTCTCTCTCTCTCTCTCTCTCTTTCTCTCTCTCTCTCTCTCTCTCTCTCTCTCTCTCCTCTCCTCTCTCTCTCTCTCCCCCCTAGAAGAACTCCAAGATTAAAAATATCCTCGTTTGATGCTGAGTTGCTTATCGACATGTAAGAAAAGGTGAGTAAAAGAGAAGACTCAAAATTTGGGGGGGGGGAGTTGTTTTCCAGAATGTTATTCCAAGCGGCAGTTAAGCGAATTTCAGTTTATCCGGGGGGCGGGGGGGGGGCGTGGGGGGAGAGGAGAGAGAGAGAGAGAGAGAGAGAGAGAGAGATCTACTCTGGTCTCACTACAGATCGTTCTCTGGTGCAGCGCCGCTGGTTTAGAAGTTTATACTCAGTTTTTCTCTTCCAGTTCTTAAATTCAATGTTGGTATTTACTGTCGCAATAGGATTATTGTTGTTTTAAATGTCCTGTTAAGAGCGAGCCAGTTACTTTTCTTTATAAAAGAAGCTCCTCGATTTTCTTGATAAACGCATCTTTTCTGAAGATCAACTTAATGCTGAACCTCTGGATCGCATAGTCTTCTAACACTCAGTGTTGTTACCTTGCGCTTCTTTTATCACCGCCCTTTCCCCCGTAGGGATGCACTAAAGCGAGTTAGCATTAAAAAATATTTCTTCGTGGCAACATAACTGAGTAAAACCACTCAGCCTAACAGATGATTTCTGTTTTTAAACAATTGTTAAACTAAAAATGGTTTGATTATCTGGTAGTAATCTGGGGTTTTACAGAAAAAGGAAAGTATAAACTGTTTTCATCTTTTGGGAGGCGGAAGGCATTTTTAACCTCAATTCTCCTTCTTACTTTCTTTCTCTCTAATATTCTATAACTTCGCTAGCATTTTATTGAATACATTAAAGCAAACAATGGGATAATCTGGTTAGATGTAGGAGGGAGACAGAAATATGACATTTTAAGATACTGACAGAGGAAAAAGATCTTTAACTCTTAGTTAAGAAGTGTGAGAATAGTAAAAGTGCAGCACTACTGGAGGACATGTGTGTGGTTTTAAAATTCACCAACTGTATAAAGAGAGATCCCAAATTTCTTGCAACTAAAAAGATTTCACTTATCCAGTTGCATGTTGTTTGTGAAATTGTTAGTTTAAAATAGCAGTCCTCTGTGGTGGGTTATCTAGGACGTAAAGTTGGAGTTGTTTCAGCGTATTGTCTCTCAATCAATCTGATGATTTCAGAGGACTGTTATAATCAGCAGCTTGAGGCTATTTTATTAATAGAGCCGAAAAGGCTCATCTAAGATTTAAGAATTTCTTAAATTCTTAAATTTAAGAAATTTAGTTCTCCATCCTCAATTTTCCAACCCAACAGAAGCCATTTCACAGCAGTGGGGTAACCCTGCTTTCTGATGTCTAACCTGGCGGTACATGGCTGATGCCCCAGTCTCAGCTTTGGCAGTCCCACCCAGGCTGCAGGAGGCTCATCTGCTCTACCCCATTTGGGGTAAAGGGAAAGTAGGTGGGGCTGGCCCAGGAGACAAGCAAGAGATGGGGGTCACAGGAGGAGGCACACACCTCCGTCAACAGTCAGCTCCTTCTGACCAGGCTGGAAATGGTTTTAACAGGCGGTAAAATTTCATCTTGCGGTGTCAAATTGGGGTCATTTTGGGGTTAGAGTTCTCAGTGTCCGAGAGGAGCTGTCCAGCTGCGTGGGGACTCATTAACTGCAAAAGATCTGTTTCAGTAAAAACAATTCAAAGACAATCAGAAGGCTAAAGACCCTCTACAAATCGCATTTTACAAGTGCCCCAGAACAAATGTGGATGGTGAAACCTATTTCTTCAGAATCCCAAATCAGCTACTTAGCTCTGGAGTGGGGGTGGGGGCATTGCATTAAAAAAAAAAAAAAAAAAAGTGAAAGGGAGGGGACCCAGGAGTGGGAGTGAACAGGAGCGGAATGGAGCCTCTCAAATTTAAGAGTCTGTTTTTAATCACCCCTTTCTTACTGAAGCATCCCTAAGACTTCTGAAAACCTTCTTTTCTATTTTTCCTTCTTTTTAGACCCAACACTGCATATTATTATAGGTAACATTTAGGATTTGAGAAGAATAATTTAATCCCCCTATAGTTCCTTAACTTAAAGGGCATTAGTTTTTAGAAGAATAGTTATTTAAAAGAAGCTTTTTATAAACTCAGACTTTATTTTAGGTGGATCTTCCCTTGCTCCTTAAGGAGGCTGTGTGGCCATTTAGTTTTGTTTTCCTTGTTGTTCTTTTTCTTCTTCTTCTTCCTCCTCCTCTTCTTTCTAGAAAGTTATAGATCCTCTGCACAGATAACTCCAGAGTCCTCAGAAATGTGAGGTCTGAAGTGCTAATCTGTGTATTAAAATCAGTTGGTTTAAATCCTTTTTGTCTTCTTACAACAGTTAGAACAATTGATGCCTTGCTAGAGGAGCAAATAAATCCAAACTTAATCTTGTTTGTCACTTTGGTTAATGTTTTGCTTTGGAATATTTTGTATTAAGCAGATTTTTTAAAAACTCAGTTTTTGTGTGTGTGTGTGTAGGGATGTTGTGTTTACTGGTTTGGAAGAAAAATATGAATTATTACTTCAATTTTTAAAAAAGATTCCTTCAGAAAAAAAGGAAAGTGTAGTGTTAAAATAAGAAGCTAGATGTGTGAAATGCCTGAGATTTTAGGATAAAACCAAAGCGATACTTAAAAGTAAAA